CCAAATTTGTCCATGGGAAGGACATATGAGGATGGAGCGGTCCACTTGAGGCAAAATCCGTCCATGTGAAGGACATATGAAGATGAAGCGTTCCACTTGAGGTAAAATCCGTCCATGTGAAGGACCAATGAGGATAGAGCAGTCCACTTGAGGCAAAATCCGTCCATTTGAGAGACCCATGAAGCTGGAGTGGTCCATTGGAGGATAAATCTGCCCAAATTTGGGACCTCTAAAGCTGGAGCGGTCCTCTTGAGGATATATTCATCCATGGCTTGCTAAAGAGGACCGCGTAGAGGACTGATGGAGAGGACCACAGAGAGGACCGTCGGAAAGGACCGCCGGAGAGGACCGCCGGAGAGGACCGCGGAAAGGACCGCCGGAGAGGACCGCGGAAAGGACCGCCAGAGAGGACCGCGGAGAGGGGCCCGCCACTTCCATCCATGGTTCGGCGGAGGAAATCGGAGCTAGCTGGATCTCGTCGAAGATGAAGGCCCGCTTGTTGTCGATGAGGCTCACCGGAGCAAAGGGAGCTTGATGGACGAACAAGAGCAATCGCGGCCGCTGCCATCCGTGGCTCGCCGGAAAAAGTGGGAGCTCGTTGTAAGGCCGCCGCTGCTATCCGTGGCTCGTCGGAGGAAGTGGGAGCTCGCTTCTTCCGGGCCAAGTTTCGCCGGAGTGGACAATTGCTAGTGGTATGGCTCGCCGCTCGATACCGCCAGAGATGAAGCACGCTAGAGGGCTCGCCGGTCTGGGAGGATACTCACCGACCCTAATGGAGGGTACTGCCGGCGTCCCCCTATCGCGTGCTCGCTCCTCGCCGGAAAGATCCCTACGGTCCGCGGCTCGACGGCGGAGGGAGGATTTGCCGGAGCTAGAGGAGTCTCTTGTCTACTGGACCGCTATGCTGGCCGCGGTCGCCAAGGGCTCGTCGAAGCTTGTCGCCGGTTATGACTTTGCCGGATCTCCAAGCGGTCACGGATCTAAGCTCACCGGAGAGAGGCTCTCCAAAGGCTCGCTGGAGAAGACCGGGATTAGAGGAGTTCACCGGAGGCTCGCGGCTGCTGTTCGTGGCTCGCCGGAGGAAGGAGGAGTTCCTCGAAGACCCGCGGCTGCCGTCCGTGGCTCGCCGGAATAAGAAGGAACTCGCCACAGATGAAATTCATTGGATTAGGGGCTCTCTGTCGTTGCCAATTACTTGCTTGAAGTTCACCAACTGATTCACTGCTCCAGATCTGATGGCCTACGAAGAGGAGGAAGACCACCACTTTTCCTATTTCTTTCCTCCTTTTTTTTTGACCCGCTGTCTCCCCTTTTTAATTTATTTCTCTCTCTTTTTTTTACTTTCTCTCTTTCACTTTTTTTTTCTCCATTACAGACTCGGAGCACAAAATTTTTTTGTGGCCGGTCCCACGGTCGGCGCCAGTGATGGAAACCGCTTTTTCGGGGCGCCGACCCGATGAAATCGGTACCGGGCCGGCACCGCACCGAATAGCGAAATCCGGAAATTAAATAAATAAATAAAGCGGAGAGAAAGTATTTATACGTGGAAACCCAAATCGGGAGAAAACCACGGGCCTTTTTAGGCGGTGCCATGCCATTAATGTAGGAGCTTGGAGCCATTAATGGAGCTCCATGCTAAGAGAAGGAGAAGAATGAAGAATAATAGTAGAACTAGTAGGAAATTGGCTTTCCTCTCCCCTCCTTCGTAGCATGCATTTAAAGAAAAGAAGGAAATAATTGATGGAGACAAGAGGAGACATTGTCCATGTGAAGCCCATGTGCAGCATGTGGTTTCCATGTGATAGTGTTCCACGGGTCCCGCCAAATGTCTCCACATCACTTCAAATATATTCTTATGTCCATATATCTCTGGTTCTGTCTTGAATAATTAACCTGATTTATATCTTGGGCCAGATAAAATTGG